CACTTTTTCAGTATGTATTATAAACTAACTTTCAATTTGACTCGTGGTGGTTTTTTGGAGAGAGAGAGAGAGAGACTTTTTATTTACTTCAAGAGTTCTGATTATTATAATTGCACGCAGGGAAAGATTTTGATTATGTGCAAGTTTTGAATTCATATTTTATTTCAGTTCTCTACCAATGAAAGTCTGTAATGACACAGAGACGATAAATCTGATTAAATGTTGCCAATACCACATTATTGTTTTATTTGTGTAGATGTAGCATTGAATGAAATTCGTTTGAAAAGTTTCGTTGATTTTTATGACAACTTGCAGCTTTGGTGGTTCGGTTTTTCACGAAGAAGTACCTTCCAGAATATTCTCATAGCACTTGGTGTTGCTACGAGCGAAACGTCATCGTCAACGACAGAGTACTTCTGGTGCGAGTAACGGATACTTCCGGAAAGGTATGTCAAACATAGGTTGCGGTTGAACCAAATTTTAATATCCGGTAGACTAGGGAACTTACGATGACGTATATATGTTTGCTATATGTTAAATGTTTCTCCTTTTCATATATATACGGTGAATAACTGATGCGATATATGTGTTTTTATGGTATTTTTTAAACGAGTAGAAAAAAGCCATCGTTATGTAATACTTTCAAAACATTAGATTAAACCCAAGCCACAGATTTTGGTCTTGATATTTCAATAAATGTGCTTTTTTATAATCCCAAAATACTTACTCTAAATTTTTTTCTAAAGGAAAGTTAAGCCTCTCATACTCTCAGTAGTTTAAAGCCTCCGGAGGCTTAGTGATAAGTCTAAGAGCTTATAACGCCAAAAATTTCGATACCCGCTTTTTGCTTAACAACAAACAAACAAATCATAGTTTTTTTATTTGTGAATGAGAAACGAACCTCTAGTTAACACTTTTTCGAAAAAAGTCTTAATCATGGAAGACAAAAAATTCACTGCAAATTAACAAATAATCCTATTTTGTTATTAAAAATTAATTTAAAAACTTACTTATGTCTTAA